TGGCATTGTATCTGTCTGAGGTCCCCCTCTTCCTCCTCCTCCTCAGACCCCACCCTCAGCAGGCTTCATCCCTAAAATATCCTGGAAGTTTCCAACCTGGAGTTGGCAACCCTATCTGCCTGTCTGTCTTAAGTTTTACTACCCCCCCCCCACAGCCTCTTCCTATGGAGCAGCTGACATCATTCTCCTCTCCCAACTGAAAATTCCAACTGCCTTGCGGGGGGGGGGGTGAGTTTGAGGTGTGGAATGGAGTGTAGTCCAATCAGCTTCCATCTGTAAATGACCTTGGAACGCTGGGCGGGACTGCACAAAGCAGCCAATGAGCCCAGCCAGTGTCTTCCGAGTGGCAGTTTTTTCAGCCTAACACTAAGGGAGTGCATTTTAGAATTAGAACTTTGGCACCCACTATTCAATTATATATAAGGAGAGATTTGTACCCTACCTTCTGCAATCTGTACAAAGGAGACTTCTAAGAATACACAACACACATAACACATCACATAAACAGTCCATTCCCCCCTCCCCCGTCCATTTGGGTTGACAGTGCCAAGTTGGGGAATTCTTGGAGTTTTGGGGAGGGGAGCCTTAGGAGGGCAAGTTTGGGGAGGGAATAATGCCACAGATTCCATCCTCCAAAGCAGCCATTTTCTCCAAAGGAACTGACCTTTGTCATCTGGACAGCAGTTGTAATTTTAGGTGATCTCTAACCCTCACCTGAAGGTTGGCAACCCTAGTTCCCCTGGAGGAAATGGCTGCTTTGGAGGACGGAGTCTATGGCATTATACCCCTCTGAGGTCCCTTCCCCCTCCTCAAACCCCAGGCTCCACCCCCCACCCAATTTCTAGGAATTTCCTAGCCTGGCGTTGGCAACCCAATCTCCTTCCCACCCAACAGCCAACCTACTTTTATCTGCTCCTCTGTCTTAAGCTGTCGTTCCCCCGCCGCCGCCTAGGAAAACTATGGCCCATGGTAGGGAATCCTCAAGGGCTTATGTGGAGGGCTCAGTTTTCCCTTTATCCCCCTCCCCACACTATTTCCCCTTCCCCTGGCATATCCTCTCCCCTTTACCTGCCTCATTCTCTCCTTCTCAGGCATTCATCAACCTAGCTTTCATCTGCCTCCCATCTTCAGCTATACTGATTATTTATTTACTTCATTTATACCCCTGTTTTCTCCACAGTGGGGACCAAAGCAGCTTACATTACTCTCCTCTCATTCTTTTTATCCACACAACAACACAGTTGGGCAGGTTAGTCTGACATTATGTGACTGGCCCAAAACCACCCAGTGAGCTTCCACAGCAAGTTGATGACTCGAACTTGAGTCTCCCAGACCCTGAAGCTCTAACCATTATACCACACTGGCTTTCATAGGGTGGCGCTGTTGAACAGCAGCAAGTAGCCAGATCTACCTGAGTCATGCAAACTGGGTAGTATCAAATCACCCACAGGTTACCGCCAGGCCTAGATTTGCCAGCCTCCAGGTGGGACCTGGAGATCTCCCAGAATCACAACTGAACTCCAGACAACAGAGATCTGTCCCCTTGGAGAAAATGGCTGCTTGGAAGGTAGACTCCATGGCATTATATCTGGCTGAGGCCTCTCCCCTCCCTAAATCCTGCCCTCCTCAGCCTCCACCACAAAATCTCTAGGGACTTCCCAATCTGGAGCTGGCAACCCTAGTCAGGCCTGGCCCTAATGAGTCCATCCTCAAAGGCCAAAATAGGCCTGGAAATGGCCCTGCCTACTCCCCCTGCCTGTCGCTCAGAGAAACCCAGCATACTATGGTTGCCTAGCAACAGCCATGACTGACAGAATCTGTTGCTTAAAGCTACAGGCGCACCTTTGATCACTTTCAGCTTTTTAAAAACTCCCCAATGTGTTTGGGTTTTTTAGATTTCACATTTTTCTGCAAACATAGGGCCCTTTCCAGGTTTGTAGAAAGACCTGTCTTGCCTGTTCACACTGGATTTAAGTATCCAGAGACTGGCCAACTTCACTGTTAGAATATAAGATTACCAAGCTGATACAGCCACTGCAGTGCAAGAAACGATTGCCTATACTTGCTTTTAAACCATGGGCACATAAACTTCATACTGCTATTACTCCACCTTAGTTCACTACAGAGAGGTGCTTATTGGATCAAAGCAAAGGAAAGAGGTGCTTGAAATGATTAGGCCATATTCCGACATAACACAGAATATTCACAGTGACTTCCTTGTTCCTCT